TGGGTAATAGAGACCAGATCTTTCTCAGACTGTCTTCTCAAAAAGGATGGATAGAAAGGAGCTAGAGAGATCTGGATTCCAAGATGAAAAACAAGACAGGGACTCTCAAAATCGTTGCTCTTCACAGTTAATTGGCTCTTGGAGAAGATAGTCCCATGTTATCTTCAAAGCCATGCTCCTTGAAATATCTCATTCCCCTGATCCCTAAAAACAAACACTAAGAAAGCCTTTTGGGAATATTTATCTCAATGCAAACAGCAAGTCTAATTGGCATCCTGAGTAATGGCTTACAGAAGAAATTCAGGATGTGTCCATTGGGTTGGAATCCCTGAGGCCATATATTTAGTGCCTTCAGTATGCCTAACCTGACATGACATGTCCTCTGGGTTAGAAAGATGTTTTATTTCTCAAGAAGGGTGCTTCCCTCCCCTCCTGATTGGCTCGTGTCTTGCTAAGTCTGCCTCATTCTAACCCCTATGATTCCTTCTGAGGAAACATTCACACAGTTAGGAAAAAGCTTCTTCTAAAAACACCAGTGCTAGAGGAAAATTATTGTTTTATTAAGTATGAAGTGAAGTTTATGCTAAAAAGAGAGTGCCTTGAGTGATCCAAAAATAGCAGAAAATCCAAAAGAGACTTTCTTTTGACTCTAGACTCATTCATTGTCAAGCTGATATAAAATGTAGCTTCTTAATCAGGTGATGTTAGTAGAAATTCTTACTGCCCGAGCTCTCATTGCAACTTTGGGATGGAATGGTACTTTGGATGCATGTTTAGAGGCAAAGGAAACAGGTGCATGGTTCAAAGGCCCAATTAGTTAGTAGATGTTAAAGAAGTTCAGTTACTTAATCTGATCTGATGTACTGATAGAGTTAAGAATATGAGCACACATTGAAAGTGCATTACAGAATAACATGTACTGTTGCTCCTGATGATGGTCTATGACAAGAGAATTAGTGTAAACCATGGTGGCTCTGTAGCAAAATATCCTCTGTGCAATGCCACCAGTAAATGCAGATTTTCAAGGTTAGAGAAGGAATTCTGATGAGTACCTCAGAAGAGACTTCTTTGGATGATCAGTAGCCAATAGGTGAGTCAGTGTGGACTTATCTTGCCCTCTCCATTTAACTTCTATGCTTGTTCAGCCCACAAGTCTCTGCATAGGAAATTCCAGGTAAGATGATTTTGGGGCTTAGGTATCTAGGAAACCTTTATTAGAAACTAGGACATCCTCTGGCATTGTCAGTTTATTTTTCCATCTGTAATTCAGGGAGTGATATTTGGTAAGTTTATGAGGAAAGCTGCCTGAGAAGGTAGAGGAAAGAAGTCGCTTGTGCACCACAAATCAGACTGGAAAATCATTAGGAAATGTACCTAAGGGAGGATAAGAGACGTGAATCAGATGATGGAAAAAACTAATACTATGGAGATTTACAGACAAAGGTGGAAATTACTGAGAAAAGAGATAGGGAAATGTATAAATACTTAAATAAAATGGAAATGTGTGGATGTATTGTTGAGATTGGAGTGATTTGGGGAGCATGGGAATGTTGGGCTCTTAGTCTATAAGAAGTTTAGTTTGAAATAACAATGTGAGGAGATAGCCAAAAAGATGATTCTATGCTGCATTAATATGGAGAGAGTTAATACATGTTACCTCTTTCTTACTTGTTGAATTATACTTTGAAGAATACATTAGTTCTGAGGTCTTCACTTTAAACAGTAAGTAGATGATGTGGAATGTATGAAGACCTAGGGAGATGTTTAGGAGGAAAACACAAAGAGTGGATATTTTGGGGATCAATTTAGATTATTACTTTTTGAGTTGTGCTTCACCATGGAGATCAAGCTCTCATTCTGACCAGTATTCATCTGAGAATTACATAAAGGGCCAACTGGGAAATTTGGCTGATTAAATGTTATAATCCTGATTTATCAGCCTGATTAATAATTTGCAGGCTCGCAGATCTACCAAGACATAGCTCTTGTTGTTTTCAGTTACATAGCTAAGGTGTATTGTTGTGTACCAACTTGGCTCCCATAAACATCTCTTTAAACTATATTTAATCTCCAAATAGAGACAATACCAAGTTATCCCTTCACATAACACGGTACAACTGTCCATGTACAACCAAAAGACTTTTAACCTTTTCCCAAGAAAAGGATGTAAAGCACACCAACTCTTTTCCCATAAGAGGATACAACATCCCTTTTTTGCCTATAGCTGAAATTTATTCTACTTTTACCCCTGATTCATCCTCCCCCTTTTACACTCTACAACTTCAATGCTGTGATATGAAGCTAACCATATCAGTATATTTTGTGTTTGAAATGGAATGACCAAGGAGAAGAAAAATATTTATTTATTTATATATATAGATTTGTATATAAATACATATTTTATATATGGGTATTTTGTGTGTGTATATATATATATATATGATAGATAGATAGATAGATTAGATAGATATACTATGTATATATGTTTATGAAAATATATATGTCAAAATAAGAATTAAATGCCTACAGCTATCACAGTCTTTGCTTCTACAGCTGCTCATGTGGTCATGGCTTGTGTTCACAACTACCTTCTTTCACTACCCATTCCATGTTTCCTTTATATGCAGTTGGTCATTGTTTGTTGTTTGTTGAGATGACCCAAACCTCCATTCCTTAAGGATCTTGGCCATTAGCAGTCCTGTCTGTTTCGGGTTATTGTCTTTTTCCACTGACCTTCATCAGAGAATATTTGAATACAGAGAGGCACCCTAAAACATCTCCTGCATTCCAGACATGCTCCTTATCCCTATGGTGTAGTAGCCACTCAACTTCCCCTTGCTAGTAATGGCCAGTAAAACCAGCCAGTAAATAGTAACCTCCTTTGCTTGTTGATTCAGTGATATGAGGAGCCCAAAGTGGCAGAGTGGCAGTCTCAACTCTCAGTAGATAAAATCATTGTTGTGTTAACTACTGGAAGAATTCCTCCCTTTGGAATAAGACCTCTAAACCAGCAGAATCTAAATGTGTTGACACAGGTAGCAAAAATTTTCCTAGTGGATCATAATTGTAATTGTAATTGTTATAGTGAGGGTATCATTCTCATTTCCACCTCTTGATTCCTGGTGCCATGAAGCCTTGCGATGGAAGAAATAACACCATAAATTAAATGCAGACTAAGGGTGCTTACTATATCCTGGAGGACTTTGTCCCACCCATGCAGTGTGTTGCCAACTAGCTGTTGCTGTAACTGAGTATTCAAAAGCCCATTCCACTGTTACATTAAGCCAGTTGTTTCAGAGTGATGGATAATAAGGTAAGACTGGTGGATTGCATGAGCATGGGCCCATTCTTGCACTTCACTTTCTGTGAAATCAATTCTTTCATCAGAAGCAATGTTTCTTGGAATATCATTATGGTGAGTAAAGCATTATATATGTCCATAGGTGTTAGTTTCAGCAGCAGCATTGCAGGCAAGGGAAGTAAATCTATATCCAGAGTAAGTGTCTATGCCAGTAAGAACAAAGCACAATCCCATACATGATGAAAGCTTTCCAAAGTAATCAATAAACCACTAAGCAGCTGGCTGTTAAAATGAAGAATGATGCCATATCAGGGACTCAGTGTTGGTCTCAGTTGTTGGCAGATTGGGCACCCAGCAATGGCTACAGTGAGACCAGCCTTGGTGAGGGAAAATCCATGTTGCTGAACCCATGTAAAGCTTCCATCCTTGCTGCCATGACCACTTTGTTTGTAAGCCCATTTTCATGAACTGGTCTGGCTGAGGAAGAGTGCAAATTGACTTCCAGAGAATGCATTAGCACTTGGATAGGATGACTCATTCTGTTAATATAGTAATGAATATTTCTTCTTTAGTTTTATATGAATATTTGGAATATTTCTGGTTGTATGCAGAATAGGTATATCATATTATGGAGAAGGATGACTTTGTTGTGTTTATTTGGTGAAGAAATGTGGCTTAAGAAGATGTGTAGGTTTACCAAATTGACAGGGGATGGATTTGGGTGGTTTCGTATTGTACGAACTTGGCTAAGATTAAATATTTTTCCCAGAGTTCCCATGTTTATGTGTTTCTGGTTAAGGTGGGCCACAGGGGAGATTCTCAGGGAGCTTTAGAGACAGAAGAGAAGCAGCCATTTTGTAGTTTATAGATGTTGTTGATCTGCTGATTCACCCCATTGATGTGAAGAAGCAGCTGGGCCTGCAATTTCTCTACCTTCTCTTGGATCCTCCTTTAGCTTCTCTGACCTCCAGGTCGGGTGTGTGTGTGTTTAGCCTCATGAAGAAGGACCTCAGCTTCTGGAAGATAACCATACCACCAATTCCAGAAGCAAAAAGAACTGACACGGGTTTCAGTCTAACTTATGGAGTTCCAGCTTATGCCGTAGGTTCCAGGCTGTTCCTGACTTAAAACACTTTATATCCATTTTGACTGCTTGCTCTATAGATGTCAGGGTCCCATATCAGACGCAAAAGTGACAACCTTAGATAGACTGCTTAATCAGTTTTCACTATTATGTAACTCCAAATTTCTGTACAATCCATTACATGTATGTGTGTATGTACGTATACAACTCTTAGTGCTTCAGCTTTTCTAGTTAAACTCGGACTCATATAAGCACAAACTACATACATGTATACTTGATATATGTAATATATATGTATAAATTTACTCTATAAATAATGCATACATAAGCGTGTATATATATTTCTTCCTTAATGAGGAGAGACTCCTTTTTTGAAGTTTGGCACTTAAAAGAACCTAGATATTCTGTAATTTCAGAGTGATCATTTGTGAAGAGAGATTTGATGTTCTCTGTTTTTAAAAGGTTATATCAATAATTTGAGCTATTGAAGAATTAGAAATAGTAAAATAAATTCTTTGTAGATCAAAAAGTCTTATTTTCAGGTATGCCGAACCCCAGTATTTCTATTGGTCTTCATTTCCACTTCCTGTTTCCCCAGTGACTGAGAAAGGGGAGATGCGGCAGAGGAATCAGACCTCTCTAGCAGACTTCATCATTGAAGGGCTCTTTGATGACTCCTTCCTCCACCTTTTACTTTTCATCTTGATCATGGTGCTCTTCCTGATTTCGGTGAGTGGCAACACTCTCACCATTCTCCTCATCTGTGCTGATCCCCGGCTTCATACACCCATGTACTTCCTGCTCAGCCAGCTCTTCCTCATGGATCTGATGTTTGTCTTCACAACCATCCCCAAGATGGCTACCAACTATCTATTTGGCAAGAAGTCGATCTCCTTTGTGGGCTGTGCCATCCAGCACTTCTTCTATTTGTCTTTGGGTGGTGCTGAGTGTCTTCTCCTATCTCTCACGTCCTATGACCACTATGTTGCCATCTGTCATCCACTGCGTTACACTGTTCTCATGAACAGAAAGGTGGGACTGATGATGGCTGTCATGTCATGGTTGGGAGCATCCATAGAATCGCTAATTCACACAGTGTTCTTGATGCACTTGCCTTTCTGTGAGCCTCAAAAAATCTACCACTTCTACTGTGAGTTTCCAACTATTGTGAAGTTGCTATGTGGAGATGTTACTGTTTATGAGACTGTAGTGCTCATCAGCAGTGTCCTACTTCTCCTCCCCATCTTCTTGATTTCTACATCTTATGTCTTCATCCTCCACAGTGTCATTCAGATGCATTCAGATGGGGGTAAGAGAAATGCCTTTGGAACCAGTAGCTCTCACCTCACTGTGGTTTCCCTCTTATTTGATGCTTGCATCTTCTCATATATGAGGCCTAGGTCTCAGCGCACCCCATTGCAAGACAAAATTGGTTCTGTGTTCTATAGTATCATTACTCCCACACTGAATCTTTAGATTTATACTCTTCAGAATAAGGATGTAGCTAAGTCTCTGAGGAGAGTGTTGGGGAGAGACATTATCACTCAAAGACAGTAATTGCAGTTGCCTTGAGTATAAGAATGGAATGGGATTAGCTCCTTAAATTTATCTGGGTAAATCCCTAAGAGTTTTCAAGGGTCAAGATCCATGATGACTGCTAGATAAATGCAGTGGTCAACACACAATTCCAATATTCTAACTTGGTCTCAGGCATCTAAGCACCATAGAGTGTTATCTTAGTCCCTTAAGGCTGTGACTACAAAAATACCATAGACTGGGTGGCTTAAACAACACGCATTTATTTCTCACAGTTCTGGAGACTGAGAAGTCCAAGATCAAGTCTTGAAATTTCTAGGCATTCTCTCATTTCCTTTTGGTCACTTCATAAATGTAGCCCTGTCTAAATGTGATCCTGACTACCTTGTCTAAAGCAGCACTCTTCTTTCTGTGTCCCCTTCTTCTACTTTGTAACACTACTTCACGTGATTTTGCACAATATTATGTTGTGTTATGTTATGTTATATCATACTATGTTATATTATATTCACTGTCTGTTTTACTGGAATGTAAGGTCCCTGAAGGCAAGAACTTTGCTTTTTGTACTGTGGTCTCACCCAAACCAAGAAAAGAGCCTGACATGAAATAAGTGCTCAGTAACTAGTTGTTGCAAGGATCAATAAATGAGAGGGATCTACTTGTTTTACTATCCCCATTATATTAATGATGCTTAATCCAGGGAGAAGAAGAGATTATAAAAATGAATATTTCTCAGAGAGAGAGATATTAATACCTTGAAAATGTAGAGACTTGACATCTCAGGGAAATTTCTTGGGTTCTAGTGGTTTGAATGATGTGAAAGCAAGGCATGAATTTCTATATCTTGTATCCCCTAACAGTCAAAATATAGTGAAGCCCTCGGATCATCTTCAGAAAAATAACACAAGGTTTAAGAGCAAAGTTACCCTCTCTTTGAAAAGCATTGTTTTTTCTCTTTGAGAAACAGCTTTTTACCGTTCTATAATGAGGTGAGCCACCAATCATGAGTTTGGTGTGATGTTACCTACCTAGCCCTAACCTTGGATTTATTCTGTAACACTCCAATATCAAGTAGTAGTAATTTGTTTTAGAGACCAAGTCTGGTTTGTTCCTGAAGGCACAAGGGTGTTGCATACACAGCTCACAATTCACAGCTAGCACACAGTTCCAATTACAGACAGGTAGTTGTTCCTCTGGGCCTCTCTCTCTACATACAACTATGGCTTTGTGAGGAATCCTATCAGATTACTTGAGAATGAAACAATGTAAACCAAGTTTATGGATGGTTATTCATTTAGTGCTAGCATCTGCCTAAAGTAAAGAATTCAGTTCCATTGGCTCCTCTGAGAAGAGATATTGCACCATATTATTTTAATCAATATTTATATATTATGAATATTACTCCTTATTTGATATACGGTTTAAAAAATATTTTATCTCATTCCATAGTTTGCCATTTCACTCTATCAATTGTATCTTTTTTTATTGAGGTCATATTGGTTTTAACGGTATGTAAATTTCAGGTGTACATCATTATATTTCAGCTTCTGTATAAACTGCATTGCCTTTACCAACAAAAGTCTAGTTGCCATCTATCACCAGACGCATTTGCCCCTTTAACCCTTTTGTCCAACCTCTTTCCCTTCCCCTTTGATAACCACCGACCCGTTCTTTTTATCTATTTGTTTGTTTGTTTATCTACCACATAAGAGTGAAGTCAAACAGTATCTGTCTTTTTGTGTATGATGATTTTGCTTAGCATTATATCCTCAAGGTCAATCAATGTTGTTGCAAATGGTACTATTTTCTCTTTTTTATGGCTGATTAGTATTTCTTTGTATATGAATAGCACACCTTCTTTATCCAATCATCCATTGATGGGCATTTGGGTTTCTTCCAAGTCTTGGCTATTGCTGCAATGAACATAGGGGTGCATATATCTTTTCAAATTCTTATTTTCATGTCCTTTGGATAAGTCTCAGAAGTGAAATACCTGCATTATTTGGTATTTCAATTTTTACTTTTTTGAGAAATCTTCATATTTTTTTCCATAGTGGCTGCACAAGTTCCTTTCCTTCCAGCAGTGTATGAGAGCTCCTTTTTTCTCCAAATCCTCTGTAACACTTGTTATTTCTTCTCTTCTTAATAATAGCCATTCTGACAGGTGTGAGGTGATATCTCATTGAAATTTTAATTTGCGTTTCCCTAAAAATTACTGATGTTGATCATCATTTCATGTGCCTGTTGGCCATCTGTATATCCTCTTAGGTAAAATGTCTGTTCATATCTCTTTTCATTTTTTTGATAGAGTTGGTTCATTATTTTGTTCTTGAGTTGTCTGTGTTCTTTACATATTTTGGAGATTAACTCCTTGTCAGATATATTATCTGCTAATATATTCTCCAAGTTGGTGGGTTGTCTTTTCATTTTCTTCCTGGTTTCCTTTGCTTACAGAAACTTTCATCTGATGAAGTCCCACTTGTTTATTTTTCTTTTGTTTCCCTTGCCCTAGTCGACATGCTATTTGGAGCTATCCTTCTAAGACCAAGTCTTTAATCCATTTTGAGTTAACTTTTGTGTGTGGTGTAAGATAATGGTCTACTTTCATTCATTTGCATGTGGATGTCCAATTTTCCAAACGTTATTTATTGAAGAGAATTTCCTTTCGCCATTATATGTTCTTGGCCCCTTAGTCAAAGATTGGCAGTCTGTAGATATGTGGTTTTATTTTGGGGCTTTCAATTCTGTTCCATTCATCTATGTGTACCTCCAGTACTATGTTGTATAAAAGTGGGCACTCTTGTCTTGTTCCTGTTCTCAGAGTGATGGCTTTCAGTTTTTCACCTTTGAGTATGATGTTGGCTGTGGTTTTATCATATATGGCCTTTATTATGTTGAGGTACTTTACCTCTATACCCGTTTTATTGAGAGTTTATGGTTAAAATGAAGTGAATATAGTTATTTTTGATGTTTTCTTTCCTTTTAATATTATAAAGTATTTCCTAATCTATTCTGATATACAGCTGTAATTTTCTGATTTTGTCTGTCTATCTCCTTGCTCAAGTCTTTGTAAATCTTTTCTTTTTTGTCAGGTATAAAGGCCTTCTTGATCATTTCTTGTAGGGGGCAGCTTGTGGCAATGAACTCTCTCAGCTTTTGTTTATTTGGGAAAGTATTTATTTCTTATCATATCTGAAGGGTATTTTCACTGATTAGAATATTCTTGACTGAAAGTTTTAATGTGTCATAATTCTGAATATAGAATTCCACTCTATAAGCCTGTAAGGTTTCTGCTAAGAAATCAGCTGAAAGACTGATAGGGGTTCCTTTCTAGGTTATTTTCTTCTGCCTTACTGCCATTAATATCTTTTCTTTGACATTGACTTTTGCCAATTTTAATAATATACGGTTTGGAGGAGATCTTTTTACATTGATGTAATTAGGAGTTCTGTTAGCTTCACATACTTATAATTACAGCTTCTTACCCAGGTTTGGGAAGTTCTCAGCTATTATTTCTTTCAACAAGCTCTCTTCTCCTTTCTCTGATATACTCATAAACCTTATGTTGCATTTCCTAATTGAATCCTATATTTCTCAGATAATTTCTTCATTTATTTTTAGTCTTATTTCTCTCTCCTTCTCCACGTGAAGCATTTCTATTTCCTGTCCTCTAAATTGCAAATTGTGTCCTCCAAAATATCAGCTCTGTTATTTAAGGACTCCGCTTTTTCTTAATCTCATTCATGGTGTTTTTCATCTCCAACATTTCTCATTAGATTTTTTATAGTTTCAATCTTTATTGTGAAGAATTCCCTCTGTTCATTAATTTTATTTCTGATTTAATTGAACTGTCTTTCCAATTTTTCTTTTAACTAGTTGGCTTTATTTATGATAGCTATTTTGAATTCTCTGTCATTTAGATTGTAAATTTATGTGACTTCAGAATTGATTTCTGGGTACTTGTCATTTTCCTTCTGGCCTGGAGTGTTAATATATCTCTTCATATTATTTGATGTGGGGGATTTGTGCCATCACATAGTGGTATCATCTGGTCACAGATTCCACCTGACAACACTGGTGGGGGGGGGGGGCAGGAGCTGTGTAATCTGAGCCTGCCATGATCCCTGGCACCTGTGTATGTGTTTTGGAAGCTGTGCTTACAAGGACCATCTGTATTTATCCACTGACCACTGCTGCTTTACACATGTAGGCCTACAGGCACTCTGGTGGGGGTCCCTTGCTCTGGCCAACTGGTTGAGCTGGTGTACCAAGGGAGGGTAGGAGTCCTTTCTTTCATGTGAGCAGTCCCAGGAGTGCTCTTACTCTGCACTCATTGTAGGCCTCCTGGGCAGCTCAGCTTGCTGAAGATGCCCCTACAATTGTTTAGACTCCTCAGTGTAGAGTATTCCCATGGGTTGCTAGGAAACTCCAAGAGCAAAAGCATTCCAATGGAAGGCTGCCCTTTCCCCTCTCTCCTCTCAGAGCAGTGCGAGGTCCTGTGCCCTGGATTGCTGTCATTCAGGGAAGGAGAGGAGTTCCCGTTATCTCCTCCACTGCCTCCCTGGGTGTGTTGAGCACCTCCTCCTTCAGATATATAGCTGTGTGGATCTCTCAGATATCTAATGTGTTGTGTGAATGTCCTCTGTAGGCTTATGAGTGTCCTTTTTGTTGTATCATGGGAGGGTGAGATTCAAAGGGAAGAGCTCACTTTGCCATGATGCTGATGGCACCTTCCCCTCTTTAATCTATTTTGGGTTAATTTTTGTGTATGGTGTGAGGTCATTATCTACTTTCATTCTTTTGATGTTGCTATCCAGTTTTCCACACACCATTTATTAAAGAGATTTCCTTTCTCTGTTGTATATTCTTGTCTCCTTTGTTGTACATTGGCTGTCCACAGACATGCGGTTTTATTTCTAGTCACTCGATTCTGTTCCTTTGATGAGTGTGTCTGTTTTTCTGCAAGTACTGTGATATTTTGATGAATATAGCTTTGTAGTACAGTTTGAATTCAGGGAGCATGATTCCTCCAGGCTTCTTCTTTTGTCTTAGGATTGCTTTGGCTAAAGGACTGTTTCATTGTTCCATATAAATTTAAAGATTCTTTCTTCTATTTTTG